CATATGACCGTATGCAGTTGCGAGCGCCGTAAAACCCTCTACTACAACAAAACAAAAACTAACAGGTAGTTGGAGGGTGCTCTTGTGTTGTCGACAACGTCTTTCCTGTCAAATTATCTATCGTCCTTACCTCTTCTCTTTCTTTTCTTTGTATATTAATTTCTATTAAAACCTATAATCTGTGGCACTTTGATAATACTCGGTAATAATAATAATAATATTAATAATAATAACAATAATAATACTTTTAAAAATAATAATGATAATAGTTTTATAATAACAACAACAACAAGAGCGTGCTTCTTCTTTCCTTTCAAACATCTTTCGTCCTTGTCTCTCCTCCCTCTGGTTTGTGTTTGTTACTCTCTTGTAACACCTCTAATCTGCGGCACTTATTTGACCTTTTATGCAGTTGCGAGTGCCGTAAAACCTCTACTAAAACTAAAACTCTTGTAACACTTCTAATCTTCGGCACTTATATGACCTTATTGTGTTGCAAGTGCCGTAACACACTTACTAAAACTAAAACAACTACAATAACAGCAGCAGCAGCAACATCAACCACAACCCACAACAACAGCAACAACAATAACAATAATAATAATAATAATAATAATAATAATAATAATAATAATAATAATATAAAAAAATAATAATAATAAAAATAATTTTTTTAAAAATAAATAAATAAATAAATAATTATAATAATAATAATAATAGTTTCATTTAAATAACGCATATCCACGCTATGCAACATGCTGTATGCTAGTTCTGGGCGGCCAGGTTCCCGATTATTGAAAGCTAGAATTCGTAGGAATCGACTCCGAACCCAATTACTTTCTAATTATGTGATTTCTTCCGGTGGTTACCTGGTTGGCTCCGAGCATCTTCAGATTTAGGATAACTTTGATTTCGGAACACTACTAAGCGTCAACTTTTATTTTTCACAAATAAGTTCTTTTAAAAAAAAGAAGATTTTAATGATTAAAGTAACTGGGAACTGTTGGTTTACGTAAAAAGGGTCGGAACTTTTCTTTCGTAGCATTAATCGTGGGATCGGTTCCGGAATTGATTCTTCGCCCAGCTCTGCTGTATGTGCTTTACTGCCTGGTTGTGTTTCAACTGCCGTGAAATTCCTACTAAAACAAACAGCAACAACAAACAAACAAACAAAAAACAACGAAAAACAAACAAACAAAAAGCAACCGGGTCTCCAAAACCAAAAATAATAAATTTCTCGGGCCCAAAAAAACACAAAAAAAACAACAACAAACAAACCAAAAACAACAACACATATATACAACATGGGTCTGTCCTTTGCGTGCATAATGTCGTGCATTTTTGCTTTTTAAAAAACTCATTATCTCTGTCTGGTCAGCTGATTTATCTGTGGCGGTGTCACGCTGGTGGTGAGCCGGATCTCCCGCTGATGCAGCAGCCAAAATCCGGATAATCTATCCGAATAACCGGATAATTAGCAATAAAACATTGTCTAAATTCAAACTCTTAACTCACTTTCCTGACCCGTTTGCCGAAGTGGGTGTACTCTTTTGTTGAAGTGATGCTAACCCGTTTGTCGAAGTGGTTCTAACCCATTTGCAGAAGCGGTTCGGTTCTATCATATTATTTACCGAAGAGGTGCACTAACATATTATCCGGATTTTGTTAATGCGACTCATTGCCCAGCTCTACCTGCTGATGCAGCTGTCAAAATAAGTCACGGCCTCTCGATAACGGAACTGGGTAATAGGGTGAAGTGCCTAGCTGCATATTTGTTGTTAGTTTGTTCCTGTCGGAAGAACATTTTGATGACGTCCAAGTGTCTGTCAGAACAAGGCCTCACTCTAAGCGCTTGAAAAGTGCAAGCAATTGCTTACAATTGACACACACGCACTCACACATACAAAACGTTTGTGCACACGCACGCACGCAGCACACGCATACACACATATACATACACTCATATACATACACAGACACACACACACACACACACACACACACACACGCTCACGCTCACACACACACACACACGCTCACGCTCACACACACACACA